GTTACTACTTAAGCCCACCGGTGTGTTTGAAGAGTGAATCCACAACATTTACAAATTGAGAACGACGTTACACCGCTTTATTATAGCGACCCTCGTTCTTTTGTCGAGATTTGACGAGGTTGAAAATCGTGAAAAGTCATGGCTCCTATGTCTTTCGAGTAGAGTAACAAATGGAATGTCAAATGAGTTCGGTTGGAGGCGTGTGGATTGAGACTTTAAAATAACATTGTTTTCTCTCGCCTATTACCGTACAATATTTTATTGGCGGTGTCTGTGCAAATTAGATTTTATCCTGCACAATGAGGCCCCGATCTCGAATTCGTGTGCAGTCCTGCATTGCCGTCACTTATTTGTAAGATGCCTTTTTAACCTTCTACGCATTTGCCATAAATTTGCTAAATTCCTCTTGATATGCAAATTCTTTTGTCAAGGCGCTCTTCTTCCACCTCCAACCCAGCTTATATATATACGCTCCAAGCTTGGCAGTGTTACATTTTTCACCTGAAGACGGCTGCTTGCGTTGTAGCCGAAACGTAGTGAGAATTATTTTATTATGTTTTATTTGTATTATTGTATTACTTCCCTTCTACGTGACTTTACCGAAAGAACCAAGAAGATGAATTCCTGCAGTCACGAAAGCTTTAAATCGAAAAATGCCTTTTTAAGTTTGTGGTGCAGACGTTTTTTTTTTATATGGAACTCTTGGCTGAAATTGCATTCGTGGTCTGCGTATTCTCTCCTTGGGGTTTGATTGCAATTGCTGTCCTCGGCGAGTTTGGCGAGACGCGCGCGGCAGGGTGCATTACCCGCGAGCAGCGCAGCAGATTGCGGCAAGAGAGGGCGCGGGTGGGAGGAGATGTGGGGACGGGGGGAAGGAGCGGGTATCAGACAGCTGGGGGGTGGGGCGAGGGGCTGAGGGCGAAAAGGGCGTCTCAATGAGATGTCATTAGCGCAGCTTGAGGTGCGGTTCAGTTTTAAGCAAGTGGCGTTTACGACTCAAACGCCTTTAATGCCTTACATTGCATAATTTATTGTACTAGCATTCTCCACAAGGACGATCAATTAATGTCGTGTATTATATAGTTTTTCTTCAAACTAGGACCGATTTCTATCAAAGGGTCCTTGTCTTTAAACATCGGGAAGTTCACCAGCGTTAGTTTAGTTATCCGAAGCTCGATTCGGATAAGTGCGTCAAAAACGGGTCCAGAGATTGCTTGTATTAAACCCAATGCTGCTGAAAAGATATTCACAGAAGGCAATGTGGCTGATGGTATGTGTAAAGAATGACATTATATGGAGAGGCAAATATGGGAATGGAGCGTTGTCTTTTGTTACTTAACGCACGCTCAAGTGTTCCGATGCGTTCAAGCATTGACAAAATAGAACCTGGGATTGAGCAAAGTTCCCTTGAGGATCCAGTCAATGTCACGTGGGGGTCATTATTCATAAGCAACAAACAGACCTCGTTTGTGAGGTCCTCTTTTGTGAGACCCATGGCAAATTGCGCCTTTTGCCCCCCTTCCCATTGGGCGGCCCTAAATGGACTTTTCTTACGAACAAAAATATGATGGTGATACGGGGATTAAATATTAAATGTACGGTTGCGGTGTTATGTGGAGTAATGCTGCGATTGCCTGGCAAACAACACCCCACGTTGGTGCGCCGAATGGTGATGGGAGGATGGGGCTAACGGCCCTGGCCAAGGGTCCCTGATGGAATTGGCCTTTGGTCGATTCTCCAACCCTCATACCCTCCTAGAGCGGCCTCCAAATGCCATATTGGCTGGTGGTAAATCGTCATGTCGAGAATGGTCTCTTTATGCGGTGTTTACATATGCCCATTGTGTTTGCAAACATATTTTTACTCTAGCAGTAAGGGAACAGTCCGCGGTTATGAGATCTACCACCTGGAAAAAAAGGACAACGGACAATTTGTCACGACAACCATCTTCCCCGCACTAAAAAGAGGGGAATTATTTCGACATTTAAAAAATGTTTTGAATTGTAGTTCGCTCAGCCACTTATCTCACTGCAAGGGGCCTCTCCACTTTCTTTATATTGACGTGCTGCAACCTGAACGCAGATGGAATTGAGGGTGGTGACGAGGATAATCACGATGACGAGTTAATGGGGATGTTAATGCACGGGGAGATGACGGTGCGTTTTGAAGGGATCACGTTCGGCGCTCATCACGTGGTGCTTGGTGTGTTACGCGGGCATGGCGAGGAGATCCCACAGCCAATTAAAACACGCGTTTAAGGTGACCATGTGAAATGCCTTGTGTTAAATGTCCAGGATCCGAATGGCGTCCAATCGGGGAAAGGCTGTGAAAGATAGAGAGAAAGAAACGGAAGACTGCAGTTTGCAGGGTATGATCACAGGAGGTCCACTTAGCTGAGAGTGAGATTCTAGGAGAACCATTGGCTGAAGAGACAGCGATTCGTGAGTTTGGAAGTGCCGCACTATGGACGTGCAAACCATATTCGGGGGTAGTAGGGGATTTTTTGGCGATCCGGGCTATGTAAGGCGACGGGTGTCCAACGCAGATCGGCAGTGCGTACCCACCGGTACTGAACACTGACTGCCATTATCGGAGCGGCCAAGAACAAGAGAAGAAAGTGTCAGAGAACGAGAGGAGAGCGGAAAGTAGAAAAAGGGCACGGGAAACGGAGATCGTGTAGGTAATGTTTGTTGAACTTCTTTCGCAGCGTACGTAGCTAACCATGCTAATCGGTGCGGGGGAAGGACAACAATCTAAACATAAAGCAGTTCCAAGAAATTCGTTTTCAATCAAGATTTTAAATTACATATCTCCAGTGGCTTCCTAATATCGGAAGAAAGAACGTTCCAGACGGGCGCACATGCGCATCTGAAAGCGCGCGATGCAGTGACCCGTCATTGTTCGATGGTTAGCCAAAAGCGGCTGCAAGGATGACCGAAGGTCGCGCAATGGTATAGCCAGGGCCAGTGAGAGTGATGGCCTAGGCGGGGCAACCACGGATAAGCGGCCTGCAGCAAGAGTATCGGCCGTAGCGTGCGCATAGAGTAGTCTACACTGAAACTCACTGCAGTACGAGTTCATAGCGACCATGGGACAGACATGTGTAATTATACCATCGGTATAGCGTATTCATGTCGAACACTTGCATAATTAGGTTTTGTGAAAGACATTGTAAGATTGTTGACAGTTGCTCCACCCACGATCTTACGGTCACCTCTTGTAAAATAGCTCTGATCATATTTCGACTTAAAGCTTTCGTGACTGCAGGGATTCATATTCTTGGTTCTTTCGGTAAAGTCATGTAGAAGGGAAGTAATAAAATAATAAAAAATAAAACATAATAAAATAATTCTCACGACGTTTCGGCCACAACGCAAGCAGCCGTCCTCAGGTGAAGACCAGGTCTGTCAGCGTCTGAATCAGACGCTGACTCCCCTCACCTGAGGTTTTCACCTGAGGACGGCTGCTTGCGTTTCCGGTAATGGACCTTCTTCACCTGAGGACGGCTGCTTGCGTTGTGGCCGAAACGTCGTGAGAATTGTTTTATTATGTTTTATTTTTATTATTTTATTACTTCCCTTCTACGTGACTTTACCGAAAGAACCAAGAAGATGAAGCTCTGATTATATTACAAAACGCATAATAGTCGCGTGGTTGTAAATAGGTTGCTCAATAAGTGCGTCGTGGATTTATTCACCATGGATGACATTCTCTGAAGTATGTTCTCCTGGATTTACTTTTGCTGTGCATTGAAACGTCTGTACGTACTGTTAACGATATTCATCACCTGAAAAGTGGATACAAAAGACAGAAGTGACTGCGGTGTTAATGTGTTTAATGTGAAAAAAGGGGAAAACCTATTATCATATTTTGGTACTGTCAAAGGAGGTCCCATAATGTGTTTAATGTGCTAATGTGTGTGCCCCACCACCGGTAAAGACTGTTATAGATGAAGCGCTAAACACCAGCCGATCGTAACATTTATTAAAAGCTTTATTAATTATACTTGTAACAAAAATCAGAGTAATTTGTAGCTTTTACTATCGGGCCCCAGGATTGCATTGCTAAATAAATGGAGTGTGCCTTGTGCTCGCGTGAACAAATCTACCCACAATTGTGTGCCAGCAACATTTTAGAATTTCAGTATCAATGAATAATAACTTTTATTTAAGGAGTGTGTCTTTTGCCCAATCGGTGCTATTTTAGGTAACTTTACGTACCAAATTTAAAAACCGGTCTTGCATAAAATATAAAAAAGTAAATTTTCATCAGGCCACAAGGTATAAAGTGTAACTCTTATTATCCACTCTCCAACTCTTATCCACTCTGACTTCTCCTTGTGCTGTGCAGAAGGGACATTGCCCAAAACGTCGCCTATAATATATTTCCCGATTAAGGCCACAGTGATCTTGATGAATGTATGTTCTTTAGTATACGTCCTTTATTTACCCAGAAAAAAAAACCATCGACTATTTAAGGGAGGGTATCTGCTCGTTTTTCGCAGTAGGGGGCGACGATTGCCAGATTTTTTTCTTCCACTTAATGAAATTGCGAGGACTTTTTTTCTAATGCGAGGACAATCACACCGACTTCGAAAGACGTCACGCGATCTTTAAAAGGTCACTGTGAAGCAGGACGAGCTCGTATTTCATGGTTGATACACCCGCAGTATTCACCATGATTACATCCCTTTGTCAGATCGCGGTTGGATGCAGGGACTGCCCACGCCGCGTCAATCATGGGGGTTATTTCGCCATACTTCATCACGCCAGTCGCTGTGAAATTGTTACAATCACAGCTACGCTGTCACGGCGAAGGGGTTACTGTATTAACGTGTGAGAAATCGTGTACACTTTTGCTGTCCAGTGCTGATTGAGCCCAAGTGTGTTCGTCGAGTTCTCGCCTATGAACATCGGGCAGCCGAACGGCCTTGGTTGAAATATGTATGCTGAACTTCTTTCGCACCCTACGTAGCAAACTGTGCTAATCGGAGGTACGGTGAAAATATTTAACACTTCGCGATGTTTGCGTGTCGTCCTTGCGCAGGTACCATGCTAAGATTTTCTGCATCGTTCCAATCTTAGTTTATGTACTGCCGGAGCAAATCGATTTTTTTACACTGCTGCCTTTAGCGTCTTAAAAATCGAAGCCTGTCCACAGTTTGTCTGCTTAAATACTTCTGGAAAGAAAAAAATTAACCCGTAAAAACAAAGTTTTTCACTCTAAATCCTTTATATGCGTGGCGGCTAGAGTCCTCTCGTCCTCTGGCTTGAGATGGCTGCCACCTATGGGTCAGATGATTGTCTGCCAGCATTAAGCAATTGGTAATTAAATATTTTAAAAAATTTCCCTAAACAGTGTAAAATTTTGGAAAAAAAATTTCACGAAAAGAAATTGTCACGCACAACGAGTCTGTGTGCAAAATGTCAGCTCGATTGGATCACAGGAAGTGGGTTAAAACGACCGAAAAATTTGCACGGTCGTAAGCAAGCAAGCAAGCACGCAAGCACGCAAGCAAGCAAGCAAGCGAACTTAATATAAAGGATTTAAAAATGAAGAAACGCACGGCTTGACGCGAATGCCCGCAGGTTAACGGATTGAACGTGTCCACGTGATGGAAATGTCTGTATATTCGTTTTTTGTTCACAGTCCTTCGCGGAAACTGCGCGGGGTGGGCATTCGGCTGCGGCGCACGGCAGATGCGGCTAATGGCTCCGTCCTGTAATGAGCCCGCGGATCGCTCCCTCGGGACAGGCTCCTGGCTGGAAAGTCCAGGAGACGGTGTCAATCAATACCCAGAGTCCCCGGCCTCAGCCGCAGAACGCACAGAACGCGCGTCGCTAGAAGGGGGGGGGGGGGGGGTGGTTGCTCGGCCACTACGCTCGCTCGCATTTAGAGACACGAAGTTAAGAATTTGCGTCCCGATTCATGGCTCTGCATGCCCGGGTCGCCTTGATCATCCGGCGTGTGCACGCGTGCGATGTGTCGTTAGAAACGGGTGCTCGTGTGTGCATGTGGGCAAGCCTTTGCGGTGAGGAGCGGTGGCGTGTTGGTTGGCGCACTCGGCTACGAAGCCGATGTGTAAATATCATCCTTGGGCCACATTATCCCCCTCGTGCTCTGTGTCGGTCTTTTTTATATATAGAACTTGGCCCAATAATATATATAGTACAGGAAGATGCATGTTGGTGGGTGCGGAGTGAATGTTGGTGCGTGATTGTGCAAGTGTGGATGGGTGAATGTGTGAGTGTGTGTGTACGAACGTATTTACGCGCGCGTATGTAATTGTGTACGCGTGTGGGTTCACGCGTAAGTAATGAACTCGTGTTCCCCCAACACCACCCGCATGCCGAATCCACCCGACGTGCCCCGCCTTGCGCAACTTCGGGACGAAATGCCACCGAGTTCACATTTCGCTGGAAACGACTCAGGCACTCGGCTTGGAGGAATAAAGAAATCATCTCGTAAGGTGGTCTCGGACATTAGCACACACTAGAAGCCCTTAAAATGCACTTGCAAAAATTCGTGCACGACAGAGCAATGTGTGCCCTTGTCGGAAATTTAAAACGAAACTACTTTTTATTTCACCGGGTAAGGGCCACCGAGCCACATTGCTCTGTTTTCAGAAGCGACCTGGCCACAAATGATAGCTCAACGAAGTGGCTTATCAAGTGGAAATTGACAGCGGACAAATACTCGAAACGCCGTGATTCTGAATGTAGAGGGGAAACCGGAAGATCCGGAGGAAAAATCCACGCGACCACGGGGAGAAACATGCAAACTCTAAATATACAGCAGCAGGCGTCAGGGTCGGGATCAAACCCACGACCTCCTGTATACCAGGTGAGGTAGTTAACATCTCGCCACCGGTGGGGTTTGCACGTTTGGCGAGTAAAAGCGAGCCCTCCGCGAATCGAGAAATTTCGCTGCTTAAGGAAGAATTAGGAAACACTTGCAACCGCGATGATGTCGCATTGCAACTAAATAATGACGACTAGAAACGTGGTTGAATAAATGTGTCTTTCTTCCAAAAAGTATGTAATCAAGATCATCCATCCGCCCCTGTGTGGATCTATGGACTTTCATCATCAGCCATGATCAATCCACTGCTGAATGAAGGCTTCTCCAAGCCGTCACCATCTTACTTAATTGTGAATTTTCAATCCGATTTCCCGTTTTGCTGTTCCGATGGTTACGTCCTCAATGATTCCGATGACGTCTTCAGCGAGTGTCGAGTTGTTCGCTGGTTTCTGTTCTCGTTATTTTCCTAATCGTCTTTTGTAAACACCGTGGCCTCGATAGCAAGCAAAAAGAACCAAACCTCTTAACAGGCGGGGCCAAGGTCCCCTCCTTGACCCTGGCCCGGAATTAATAACCATAAATAACACGAAGTAAAACAAATTGCTCCCTGCGCCATGAATCACGCGGGGCTCTTCAACCGCGTTCCGCTGAGACCTTCATCTTGGCGTGGAGACCCCCCCCCCCCCCCCCCCCCCCCCCCCCACGTATTGAGGTTGCAAGCAACGCGAGTCTCCAGCAACTACAGTCGACGAGAGAGAGACAGCAACCAGGGGGACAATCGAGGGCGAATTTGTAAGTGCCATATTTTACTCGGAGTGTGGCGAATGTTTACAATGCCTATTTTTTGCTGTGCCAGATTTGTATCCGCTTTCAAAAATCCTATATTAAACTAAAGATATATACCGCACTTTGTTGTGTGATCGTCCTCGGCCAAGATCCGCTGATCGATGAAGGCCTCCACAAGCTGTCACCATCCCTCACCATTCCTAATCCATCCAGCCAGCACCTGCACACGAGCTGATCTCATCGCTCCATCTCCTTCGGTAGTTCCCCGGTGATCGCCCCGTTCTGGTGAGGCCATCTCTGCTCACGCACACTTCAATCCTTGCCGATAATAACGTCGGGCACTTCACCGGCATCGGTTCAAGCAAGGCCTGGCTGCCGATGTGAGTCGGCGTCAAAGCCGGTCCAGATTTGACTTGTCTTAATAATTAAATCTATTCAAGTTATGCGTTCACAGAAGGCCTTGTAGCTGATGGGATGTGTAACAAAAATGTGTATGCAGGTGAACGGTTTATTGAATTTTATTTTGTTACTTTGTTCTTCTGTCACGACGCTAGTTCTAATTTCGTGTTCTATTTCTTAGCAATCAATATGATGTATTTTTTAACGGTGTTTTTGTTGTGTTTTTTGTTCATCAATAGCGCCTCATTCTTGCACAGCGCTACTCGTTTCGTGTTGTCCTGTGTTTAATGTGCTACAGAGCAGCACTTGCTTTTAACTCGGCTCTTCCTGAAGAGACCTTCACTCTCAATGGGTGCTTTGCCGGGCTGTACATGACATGGTAATGATGGGTGAATATTGACTTGAGATGCTGCTTCTGTGGTTGGGAATGGCCCTCCTCCTCCTCCTAAAGCATGAAGCGGTTGATGCTCCCTCGCCCAAGTGCAGGGTCATAATTGGGTTTCCAATTAGAGGAATGAGATGACTCACGACTACGAATACAAAATTTCCTTATTATCGTTTGCTTCGTTATCGCACATTTTATTCATAAAAAAGGTAATACCTTGTAAGTGTCCTTGTTAGATGCATAATTTTAAGTAAGTATTTTTATCTGTCCTTTTTTCGAGAGAAAAAAACACTTTTTCACTCGAATAAGCCTCGCGTTTTATCTTATTAATAATCGTGGAACAAAGTGTCACTTTTGCAAAGTACAAATCTCACAGGAAACCAATGGTGGTGGCAGTGCTGCTGGCCCATCGGGGGCCTTCCGCAGAAAATTATTTGAGTGGAACTCTTTAAATGTACACAATTCTAGTGAGGTGCCAGAAAAGATTGATGAGATATATTATATATTGTGAGTTTTCATGAGATGAGATAAATGTAGAGATCAATAGATATTCGGTGAGATGAGAAGGGAAATGCAGAGGTGATGGAGATGCATTGTCTTTTCGTGCTAATTAGCTCATGCGGTCCTAAACCTTTGCTTGGCTTGCTTATGCCTAGCGCCGCCACTGCAGCGAACCCAGTATGTATGTTGAACTTCTTTCACACCGTACATAGCCAACCGTGCTAATCGGAGACGCGACAGGACAGCTGCTGTGACTCGATGGATAAAAGCCGAAGATTTGGCAGGTGAACAATCGAGAAACGATGACAGCCATCGATTAACATACATTATCAGGCTCGCGATTAAATGTTGAGGCTCCGTATAACCGTGCTTGTAAGACCCAATTGTTTTGCGTTTTTGTTTATACACACGATCTGTCCATGTGACATTTAGACCAACGGAGTGACCAAAGAGAATGTGACGACAGCTTGGCGTGGCACGCATCGGGCAGTGGATTGACCGCGGCTAACGACGACGATGATGGCGCAAACAGAAGCTGTAGAAACGATACGGTGGCGAAAACGAGATGAATAATTATATAATCGGTCAGCACGGCTTGGAGACGGCGGCGGTGTTCGTGATGATGGCCCGTGCCCGCAGCTCGCGTTGAGTGCCGGCTCTGATTCCCTGCCACGGCGGCATCTCCGCTCACTGCACAGCGAGGCGATTTGTCATACGAAGCGGCGAAACGCGTAAAGATATGCGGGGGTGGTAGTGGGTGGTGGTAGTGGGTGGTGGAGGGAGGGCTGGGAACTGGAAAGGGGGGGGGGGGATATGCTAAATAGATGCAGACGCCGTATAATATCAAGCGGCGTGCTCCTCTGCTCTACATGCGTGCAATGATCGATAACTAATAGATGATTTAGCTCACGATAGTGCCCGTAAGTAGAGATGCATGTTCTTAGATTCGTATATGCACGTGCAGCTAATTGTGGATGAGAAAAACAAATCTGACACTTGCACCTGAATCTGACTTGTCGTGGCTCCTGTGGCTGTCGATAGATGCGACCACAGGAACGTGGCCACGTAGAAGAGGCTTTTATTCCTTCCAGCTGCAGAGTGATCTTCGAGAAAAGAGACGGTGAGATTTTTAATTTGCATTATTTGTAAGTGGCCTTAAATATTTTGCGGGGATTATTTTCAATGTTTACGAATATATTAATTGTTCCTCATTCTGGCTTAATGGATTAATCATCGTATGCCTTTTAATTCAGTCTTGTTGTGATGCGTCCCATTTTTATATAAAAATGAGATCGTATCCTTTGCAAACACTGCAGTAAAGATTTATTTTTATTTTATTTAACAAAAAATACAATTTAGTCTGCAGTCACGAGGTGGGCTATGGGAACTACCCATGGCCACCAAGGACATTATCTGCATGGCTGGGGGATGAATGAATTGTATATTGACAAATATAAACAGACCCCTACCCGTTTTGTTGTCTCCACATACTAATAAAATATAGCTTTAGTCCATCGACCTATTGGCTTTCAAGCTTCACTGCTGATGAGACCCGGAATGTCAACGCACATCTTGAGTTCACGTGTGGAAAAAATGAAAGTTGCTGGATAATATTGGACTGGAAAGCCAAAAGGGCCGCTAGACTAAACCATTGTTATTGTTGGCGTCTGGAGAAACAGAACGGCGGCTCCAGCGCTGCTGCTGATGGTGACGTCGGAGTATTTTCGCCCAAAAAATCGAACGTGAAATAATCTGGTCTATGGGAGAGTTTTTCGCACCCAAGAGGATGACCCCACGAGACTGCAGGTTGATGCTCGGCGAGGGAGAGGTATGGGGAGGCGTGTGGGTCTGCGGCAGTGGGAAGAGGGTGGTTGGGGAGCAGCAATGGAGGGGGAGGGGGGGAAGAAGGGGTCGCGGTGGCGAGACGCCGATAAGTACGGTTCGTGTACCGCCTAATGAACGTGTCTGCCGGCTCCGCTTTGCGCGCAAATGAGCGCATTAGTCAAGCGACACGCGAGCCGTGCCCCAGGCCGCACTGAGCCCCGGCCATTAGCGGTGGCCTCTATCGCTCTTGGCTCCCACCCTCCACCCCCCAAAGCTTCTCAATTCGGGATTTCTCCCCTCCCCGTGCTCGTGTGGCCACCACCGCTGCTGAAATTAAGGAAGCTGGCAAAGTGATATCGCTAATCCGCCGGAGAGATGCGTCGCTTCATTGCAGTGAAATGAAACGAAGACACGCGCGCGCGCACACATGATTGGGCGCGAGATTGACGATCATTGCTTAAAAGATGACGATAGAGCAATGTGTAGGGGCACCGTTGGCAAGGATGATGTAGGAATGTCGGTATTGATGATGTAGGGTTTTGATGTGTGAACTTCTTTTGCACCGTATGTAGCCAAACGTGCTAATCGGAGGGTGCGATGGAAGGACAACAAACTAAACACAAAAAGGTGTCAGTTTTGTTGCCAGATAGAAGGGTAAAGAACCAATTATCATATTTTTACTGGCAAATGAGGTCCCCATAGTGTAGATGCTTGCCCCGAGCTCTCATACTCTGATGGTGCATTGTCCTTGAGTTGTGCGCCTTTTGGCGTCATCTGGTCCAACCCATATGAGACTAGGCTCGAAGGAAAGCTGTCTCGGGTGTGGACCAATCAACTTCAAGGACAGTGCACATTATCAGAGTTATGTTCTTTTGTTTGTGTTATGACTGCAGGTATTGCGGTCTATGCAAACATGACTCCTTGCAAAAAGGTGTCAGTTTTGTTGCCAGATAGAAGGGTAAAGAACCAATTAACAAAAAGCAGTTCTCAAGAAATTAGGAATGTGGGTGATGCGATGTAAGATTTTCATGAAATGATGTAGGAATGTAGGTAATAATGAGGATGTAGGATTTTAATGAAGGGATCATGAAGGAGTGCAGATGGCTTGAAGCTTTCGAGACTGCAGGAATTCATATTCTTTGGATCTTTCGGTAAAGCCACGTAGATAGAAAAAAATAATACAATCAAAATCGCGACATTTCGATCGCAACAAAAGCAATCGTCTTCTTTTTCATCTGAAGACGATTGCTTGTGTTGCGATCGAAACGTCGTGATTTTGATTTTCTTTTTCTATCTACGTGGCTTTACCGATATACCCAAAGAATATGAATGCAGATGGCTTTGACCATAAAATGTTGCTTGCGTGGCTGGGTCACGATGACGATGGTGTCGATGGTAGTGACTGGGAAAGTAAGAAAGGAAGAAGATAATCTTTTCTCCATGAGTTTTGACGAGGAGGGCAAATCGCATTGTTTGCCTTCACGAGCCTCCATGGTTCATCGGCACTGTGTATCCATCATGTCCCACTGCTGTCATTTGTGTCGAGCCGAGGGTGCAGGGGGGTGGGGGGACGACTCGTATTGAGCAGTCGCCCTCTACGCTGGGAGCAAATTGGGCATCGTCTAAAGAGAGAGCGAGAGAGAGAACTGCAAATTGAATAAGTGTGATATGTCGATGGTTTAATATTCTTGGCGGTGCACCCAACTTGGCAACCTAATTTCGAGCGGCTTTATGAAATGCGGATTCCACTGCCGAGATATACAAGGGCGGGTGGTGGGGGGGGCGGGGGCGGTGGGGGGGCGGACATGGTCCCGTGGAGGGAGAGGGGAGCAGCGGGCGCCCACATTTGATTGCCCAACCCGCGTGTTCACTCCGTGTCATCGCCATGGGCTTCTCTGCGCTCAGCTCAGCGTAACCCGACGCTCATGTTCACGATATAAGTTCCTTTATGAGACCCCCCCACCCCATGTTCACGCGACTCAATTGCTCCTCGGTGTGCCCATTCCGCGTCCAAAGCTTGGAAGCTGAGGACGGCTGAGCCTTGTTTAGTGCTTCTAGATTTGAAGCTTTCGTGACTGCAAGGATTCATATTCTTAGGTTTTTTCGGTAAAGTCACGTAGGTAAATTTTTTTTATTAAAATGAATAAAAGTAAAATTAAAATAAAATTAAAATCACGACGTTTCGGAGCAACACAAGCTTCCGTCTTCAGGTGGAACCGTCACAGCACGCTTGCTGTATTCATTCACTTGATACAGTAAGCGTGCTGTGACGGTTCCACCTGAAGACGGAAGCTTGTGTTGCCTCCGAAACGTCGTGATTTTTATTTTTTAACTTTATTTTTATTTTACTTTAATTAATTTTAATTTTTTACCTACGTGACTTTCCCGAAAAAACCTAAGAATATTGGTTAGTGCTTTTGTATATTGGGTGACTACCATTGCATACCGGGTTGCGCGGGCTGCGATGTGCTCGCGAGGGAGCAAAACAACAATGGTCCCGCCACCCTTCCGCAGATCCTTGATAGATTAAATGAGAAAGGTGTGTCTGTGGACTGAGTCTGTGCTGTCGCCTCGTTTATACATCGTGGATTGTATCCGGGCAACGTCACTCTCCTGCCACTTGAATCCAAACACTCATTCGTGGAATTGGCCAAATATTCCAAAGGAGCAAGACACATGGAATCTGTCTTGGGTATTTGATTCCTATTTAGTGTACACTAATATTATCACCGAGGTGTCGAGGCATCAACACCACTGGGAAACACGAACTGGGCAAATTAAACCAAACCTATAATTTCGTATTTGCTTAGGGCAGGGCGCCGTTCAGCGTTAGAAGTCAAGTTAAATATACCAAACATGAATTAACGACAATCATCTTCTTGGTTCTTTCGGTAAAGTCACGTAGAAGGGAAATAATAAAATAATAAAAATAAAACATAAGAAAAAATTATAATTTTATTATTTTATTATTTCCCTTCTAAAATAAAAAAAACATAATAAAAAATAATATTTTTATTATTTTATTATTTCCCTTCTACGTGACTTGACCGAAAGAACCAAGAGGATGAATCCCTGCAGTTACGAAAGCTTTAAATCGAAATTTAACGACAATCAGTTGATGCAGCAGTGGAGCGGTGGCGCAGTGTGTTTGTCTCTGCGCTACGAACCCGGCTCCCTGAATTCGTTTCGCTCGCCACCGATCTCTGATAGGGTCTTAGGTTTGAACCTCCCCCTTTACCAACCTACGCCGACCAGCGTTCAGTATGTTCCATCAACCCCTATGACTGACAAGGCACGGGGGAGATTTTCACCCGGAACTGGATTGATAAAGGATTATCAAATATCATTATTTTCAATGGACCAATGGGATTTAGCATTTTCGTCAATATTGTAAAGCCTGGGCCAGCCTCTCTCCCCACACTGTCACCCTCACCTCCACCCCCCCCAACTACCCCCGCCCACGGAGGCTTCACAGACAAAGCCCTCATCCATCACTGTCTCTCCAATATATATGCAGATGATATCCGGCGCGCGCACTAGATTATTTTCGTCTGCCTTATATGGTAATTGATTAATTAAGGTTGGGTCCCGCGGCGAGCGAGGAGGAGGGTGGGGCCGGTCCCGTCTCGTTTGGCCCGCGTTGAGTAGATTTGACGATCACACATCCCAACATCACCACACAGAGAAGATCGATCGCGCAAACTTTTGAAAAGATAGTTTTTATAATTAAAGCACATGGGTCTTACATGTATAGAATTATTAAAGAACTTACATAATTAGCACTCGCAAATCTCTGAAATGGCAATTCGATAACAGCGATTGTAAATAAGTCATCAATTAACTCGCTTGGGGAAGGAACGTTGGCATAGTATTTGCATTTGGTGACGATTGGAATCGCTGTATTACGACATTGTCTCTTGTGCAGATCCGTGCGGAGAGGCGAGATTCATTCGCATGGAATTTTTTTTTACCGAACGTAATCAGAAGGGTCCTTGTGCTACAACTCACCACGAGCATGAATCTCTCATCACTCAGGGTTTACCGATTGCACATACACGGCAGCGATGTGCTATGCATGACTTGCCATGGCTTCACCAGCCCGCACTGACCAGTGTACTGAAGTATGGTCAAATAACCATCACCACCACCACCTGCTATGCATGGTTGGCTACCTGCGGTGCTAAAGAAGTTCTACATACGTACATACAACAGTATATTGACAACAGGGTTTTACAGTGCAGAATTACGATGGGGCAGAGTGACGGCGCAATGGTTAGCGCACTCCGCTTTGAACCCAAATACCTGAGTTCGATCCCCCACCAACCTTCCACCCGCCGCCTTCACAAGGAGAGCGCGGTGAAGTGTTATGGTCAAACAACCTCCATAATTGACACCGCGTGGAGAGGGTTTCGTTCAACAGTGGGTTAACAAAAGGGCTGGGAATGTAATTTAAAACAACTACTTATATAGGTCAACACAAACGGAATTACCCAACAGGACACAAAAATACGATAAAAAACAAATTTTAACACAATTGCCAATTTGGCCTTTAATAGTATTTCAACCCGTGATACACTGGGGCAATTTTAGCGCAATTTTCACCGGCTACGCATTTACTTCAGGCAACTCTGGCTCTGACGAAATTCTCCGTGGTACGGAATAGAAAAATGGTACGATGCACATGAACGATAGCAATTGGACTAAATTTGCCAGTGTTGTGTGTGTGAAATGTTATTAGGTTTTCATCGGCTTGTTCAATATGCCTGCAATGGTTTTGTGTTATCCGGTTAGTGTGAAACCGCTTAGAGAACACCATTCCCGATCCGGGCAGCTCTGAGCGCCAATGTCCAGATAACGCCCATATCCACACACGCGCGTTTAGAATCGTTCTCCATTTACACGTGATAATGACCATTTCACGCGCCCCTATTCATTAATTAATGGCACTGTGAGAGAGCCTTTGTTATAAAATCCCCAGGAATCCGTCCGATCTCGTCAGATATCGGAAGCGAAGTTAAATTGAGCCTGGATATCGTTGGTAACCGAGCATTGGCTGGGCGACTACCATGCGTAACCAGGTGTTATAGGCTGCTGCAGGGCCACGTGGTGGTCAGTGATAGATATTGAAGCGTAATTCTTTTTCTGAACCGTACTTCTGGTCCCCGCCTTGACCAACATCGCACTGACCAGGGTATGCTCGAACAGCGTGGGGAGACCATCAATCAGCAGTGGAATTTACAAAAGGACTTAATACGTGTACCGAATGACAAACTGCCTGCAGACAGACATCAGAATATTGGGAGCTCTGTACTCAAACCGCGCACAGCGTGTGACCGTACCCCACCACTGCTCCCTCTCCTCCACGTGTGCGCTGCGGGAAACCCACGACGCGTCCGACCGTACATCGTGTGTTGCTTAGGCGGGGGCGGGTGATGAATTACGTAAGAACTCGAGCGCGGGTGTTTGGATGTCGGAGGAGGCGTGATGAGGCTGCGGTGGTCGAGAGATGCCAGTACGCGGCGATGGATGAGTCCCACGGCTTTAATTTGCTGAGTCTGTGAAGTATGCCTTCTGTGTTGTTATTCCCTCGCGTGTGTGTGTGTGTTCTGAACCAGTGCCCATTATCTAAACCGGTCCTGGGCTTCCCCTAGGTCGACACAGCCTCAAATGAGTATCTGTAACGGTGTGTAAACATCGCCACGAGGGAGACTAAGGCAGCGTAGCGTGGTGCTGGCCACTCACGCCGTGCCCGACTACCAATAGAATCATCTACAGACTCCAACGACGCTCTCCTGGAAAAATAGAACAAGTACAGCCCCCGGAGTGTCTCACTCACGCTGTATCTCACCCGCGACTCTTCACCCTATCGCGAGCCACCTGCCGATCGACGTAACTGTGGTGTATCCATTTCTCCATGGCAGCATCCCCCGGGTGAACACTTGGCAGTAATTGGCATGCAGAGCGGCATGTTCCCACCCCCGCTCGTTTATCGCTGACGGCCTAGGTAAGGTGGGACGGGCGGGGGGGAGGGGGACCAATCCATTCCAGCCGCGCGAACATGACTGGATCGCAGGCATTGGCGGCGTGACTTAAACACGAACGGCGCATGGAAGAGGTGCACGACTTGGGTTTGCTACTGAGAGACGGGAAGAGGAATGCATGGATGAGAAAACAAATGGCAAGTTCAAATGAGTCCCGTGTCCGTTAAGAAATGTGGACTTGGGCAGGATACGTCGGCAGAAATCGATGGGCAGCGATAGAGACTCACGACAGAGTGCAAACTGCAAGAAGCAACGTCCACTGTAAGAGTCCGCGCACACATTGCGAGCGTTATCCACTTAAACGCTCCTTCGATAATACATTGGCCAGATATCCAGAGTGGAACCCTTCTGAGACGTTGTAAGACTCGGCGAGGCTTCACTGCACGATGCCAAAGCCAATTGTCTATCCAAAAAAGCCTCGCTGTGTCTCAAATCTATAAATGCGATGTTTGGCCAATTACCCCAAAAAAATTGAGTACCCTTTTTTTAGAAACCGTGCCACGCAAATACTGGGGCAATACTCGGCACTGCCATTCCCTGGCCACCTCGCATCCCAACGATAACACCTCGCACACCCTGGTGGTCACCCATCCAACTGCCAATAACCAAATCCAGCCTGCTTAGCTTCCGTGATCAGACGATATCAGGCACATTCAGGGTACACTTGGTCATAAGCGTACGCTGTATACATATATACATTGTTCTGACTGCCATGCCAATCACACTAATACAATTCATTCATGGGGTGGAAGGTAAGGGGGGGGGTATCTTTTTCGGCGAGACGGAGGAATGACTTGAAATAAAAAAAAATATGGAGAATGTGAAGTTGTGGTTGTCCGCGTGTTCACTCATCTCAGGCGAGTGTTTCTCGGTGATTCGCATTCGGCCGATGAATAAAACATGGGATGTCTCCAGGCGTTCACATTCATTGCTCCGCCGTAGCTGCTGATGCTGGGAATTCGATAAATAATATAATATGAAGCAATTTCTATATCGTCATAACGGGCGGGGGGGGGGGGCAAAATGCATAAGCACACGATCCACCCCCTTTGCCCAAATTGCCCGATTTGATAACACGCCCAAAAGCTAAGCAAGGGTTGAGCCCCTGACAAGTGCTTGCGATGAGCGACCACCAAGCAGAACACAGGTGCTCTCGGCTGCGACCGGGCAGCAATGTCACCATGAGGAGAGTGGCAATAAAACAAACACACACAATGTATCGTACTTCTTAGCTCCCACGTAAATGGTCCCCCGCCGCCTTCACCCGCCTGCACCGACCAGCGTGGTGAAGTATGGTCGAATAAACCCCACAACCCACCAAGACGTGGGGGGGGGGGGCCTTCATACAGTCGTGGACTGAAATAGTGCTGGTGCATCAGTGTCAATGCAGTGGCCTGTAAGGCAGCGGTGTGGCACGTGACTACAGCTGGGACAGTTTAGCCTTTCTCTCACCCACGTGTATTCATTGGAGATGGCACGATGCACGGATTTGTTAATGCCGCATCACACTTTGCTGCTACTGACCACGGCTGAGTGACACTGGGTCGGGATGGTTTTGGATTTTGTTTGTGTACCCAATTGGGCGCTATTATAGCGGAGTGAAAAATTAAACTATTAGAATTTGTTTTGGGGCGTGGGTAGTTGACGTGTAAATGAATACGACACAAGCGGGCATGAGAGAGGAATGGATGGTGTTTCACAGGTGTTGTGGTTGGTTTCGGGGTCCGGGGTTGGGGTTAGAAATGAGTTTGGGGTTGGGCTGCCGCAGTGTCGCACTATACGGCACCCATTTGTAACCGTTCACCATACCCTCCATTCCTAAACCCGCAAATCCCTGGCTCATACCATCCAGGGTGTTTCCTTTCCTATCCCCCTCCCTTCCTATTTCCCGCGTCGTACAGATTTTAGCCACGCAAACCCCATCCTCCGTGTCCCCCTTCCCCCGCACTCAGGAAAAGCCAGGGATTGTGTAGAAGCACAGATGGATTTCGCACACATCCGCCTCCGCCCCGAGCAAGAGCGGTGTCTGCCAGCACAGCGTGTGGGTGCATGAGCGTAATCCCTCCCGATAGAACCACTGCCTAGCGCGTGGACTTGCACAAAACCATCGACGGTAAAGCATTGTCTGCACAAGAGACGGACTCATCGGCCATGGGGGTTTTTCTCTCGTCTGTGAAATTCAACAACTGTGCAATAAATGATAGTCGGTAGTAACCAAACCGTTGCAAAATTCTAAATTCTTAAAACGTTTTACAACAACATAAATAAGTAAAGCATTGCGCATCTGAATGTCTTAGTCAGACGCACGTGCGGTGTGTGTACACACACGTTGCATACTGTTTGTAATATTTGGTTATTCAGTAGCGTGGAAGAATACAAAACAAAGGGCAAATGAAATATTCTGTGGTATGCGTGTGCGTGCTTTTCTCCGTGACTTGCACGATTTAATATAAACTTGAAAAGTGCCGGTGCACAACCTGCGATGCACGCTGCTGTTTGTCTCACCAACCGCCTCCCCCCCGCCCCTTGCCACCCCCCTCTGTAAAGTCGTACGCGACATCACAAGAGGCTGCCGTCGGGTGCTGCTGCTAGGATGATTCGGAGAGCTTTTAAAAGTGCCATTGCACGCGTTCGGGACATTAAAATTCAAGTCGCCTCCAATCGTCCGCTGGGGACACCACAAGCGTGCGCGATCGTCAAAGCCAATCACCTTCTCGTGGTCGGCGGAGCGAGCCCAAAGCGGCTCCGGTCTCGCTCCTGGAGTTCCAGCGTAGGATTGAGGTGTAAGGTGCCTTGTTGACAGCGCGGCCACATGGAGATCTGGGCCCAAGGGGTCGCGCATTTTCAATTTTCATCGTCCTTTTGATGACCCCCCCCCACCCTCGACCACCCAGCGGCACTCGCACGCCCGTCCGCCACCTCGCCTATAAAATTCCGATGGCAATAATAACAATCGCAATAGTACTTTCATAAAAATCCGCGTTGATCTGTCCGCAAGTTTTTTTTCTCTCCCAATAACTCCTCCGTTGGCCGCTGCAAGTCTCGTCCTCCTGCAGCCACGATTCGTGGCGCACCGCCACCCAGCTCCGTGCGCCCGGCATTGCGCGCCTCAAACAGTCGTGACCCTCATGACGAGCTCTGGGGTGACGCCGCTCGCCTCAGCGCCCTCCTGACCCGATCCGAACCGATCGAGCAGGTGCAGGAAGAGCACGCCGAAGTGGAAGCGCAGCGGCGAGAGCACGGAGGAGCCAGCCGAGGCCCGGCCCGGGCCCGTCTTGCCCAGCTTGTCCACGTTCTTCTGGTAGTTGAGCACGCGCCAGCGCTGGTTCACGGCGCGCCACCGCTTGAGGATGCGGTACACGGCAGGGCCTTCGTGGACCAGGAGGCCTTGGGGGTTGGGGGGAAGGTGGAGAAACGTGTGTACATGGATGAGTTTCAGCATTTAAAATAACAAAAAAATATCCATATTCTTGGGTTTTTTCGGTAAAGCCACGTAGGTAAAAAATGTAAATTAATAAAAGTAAAATAAAAATAAAATAAAAATCACGACGTTTCGGAGGCAACACAAGCCTCCGTCTTCAGGTGGAACTGTCACAGCACGATAGCTGTATCAAGTGAGAGAAATTCCAAGAAGACAGTATTTGTATATATACTGGTTGAGGGTGGGAGGAGCCAAGGTAGGCCCTGAATAGTATTTTTGTGAGGTTCGGTGCGGCTGAAGCACGCTGTTAGGAATGAGCCTTTGTTGTGTAAACTACGTGCGGATGATGTAAAGGTTCGTGTAAAAGGGACTGAGCCTCTTTGTTATGTAGAGATGATGCGGCTGAAATAGCTGCCAGGAAAAGAGTCCACTTTGTTAATCTGCTGCCAGATGAAAGGCCTCTTCGTGCCGTGTCGATGGTGGAGGTTATTTGACCGTACTTCACCACGCGAGTCAGCATGGGATGTACCCAGGAACGGTTCAGATATCGCTCGTCACTGATGTTATCCATGGCCGGGAATCGAACTCGCGTAAGTCGCAATCGCTGCAACACGACGCTCTCATTTATCCATAGCAATTAAACCCACACAGTTTAAGCATAAATGGTGCCGAAGTGTGTATGTATATAAAACACTGAGGGAGCAATAGTGGTTAGCACACTGCCTTCACAAACCCGGTGATCAGAGTTTGATCGCCACTCACAGCCAAAATCAGTGACGAATATCTGAACCTGATTTTTGTGCCTCCCCTAGATCGACTCAGCCTTAAATTAATCCCTGGTGCTTTGTGTAAAACATCAGCACTGGGAGACAAAGGTGGGCCGAGCGTGATGCTGGCCACCTGTCCTCTCGTGCCACCGCGTTGGCCTTCGATGGTGAGCTCTAACAGCACTTGCTGCCTGTGCAGGTTATAGGGGAGGGGGGATGTTTGCCTATTTAATATAAACATTTACAGTCATTTCTCTTCCATTTCACGTAGAAATTGGAAACTTATTTAACCCGAAACCCCTCGTGCCGCTTGCAACCGGTTCGCTCTGTTGAAGCTGCGTGAGATTCATGTTGTCGGTGCTGCAGGTCTCATTCAGATGGGAGTGAGAAGGTTTGTTTTTTCCCGGGAGCTGCCGTTCAAGCAACCGCGAAGGAAAGCAACAGTCTCCCGCCACTGTGAACCCAATCGGCACGGCGAGATTTGCTGAGCGCAGCGCTTACGATTTGGCCCCATCGGTCAGAGACGCTGGGCCCCATTTTTAAAGATTCATGGAGGCTCTCGACGGCTCCCGCCTCCGCCGCGACCACGGGTACTCGGCACCGCTTGCGTTATCGGGTTCAGCTTGGCTGGGGCTATCGTTGCTATAGCCCCCCCCCCCACACTACGCCTTCGTATGCCACGTGTTCCAGCATTAATAGGTCCTCGCTAAGAGCATTTTATGAAGTATTCTGTATAGCAGTATGGAGGGATCTCCGTCTTTTATGACTGGAAATCCTACTTGAGAAAGCGTGTGCATCCGGTGGGTGCACTCATTGCAAACAGAACGTGGTGGTGGCATCGGCATCCGTGCCGATCTGGGGTTATGGAGACCGCCCCCCCCCCACCACCACCCACCTCCCCGTGCTAATGGATATTTGATGGCTGATGTTGGGGGAGAGGAAGGGAAATGCGAAGGATGACAAATCGACTTCCGCGAGAGACCATAGATAAGTAGATCTCCATTCTGTGTATCCATGTAAATAACAAACACAATTGGATCCGTGAGCCGATTGACTTTGCAGACCAGTCATCAATCGGCATTTGTGTAAGCAAACAAACTGTGCACTGAATTCGACCTTGCATGAGCCGTTCATTTGGGTTTAAGGAGGAGTGCAGTGGCTCACTGAAGCTCCCCCCACCCTCCTCACCTCTCTCCCCCCTCTCCCATCGCCCCATTCGCTCGCTATCTCCAGGAGTTGCGTACTTCCCTCCTAAGGGGGGTTAATTGAACGATGCCGTATGAGTCGAGGGACTCTCATATTTCGCATCCTTAGCCTCCTGGTCCATCTTCCACCGATGCGTTTCACAACATACGCCGTTCACTCGGGCGGATGAAATGCGGAAAGGTCGATGAATTGGCCGCAAACCGAAATTCGCACGGCGCTGCAGTTTGAGTCCTGCTTCCGTCCGGTAATTTTTGCGCTGCAGAATCGGGCGTTAAGAGAATCGATGCATTGTCATTCACAGCCGTTGCCCGATTGTCAATTATCACTGGCCAAAATTTGAAATAAATTTTGTAGCCTGCAGAATGGCGCTGTGGTTCGAGCGCGTGACTCAACCTCAAGTTTAAAATACTGACTGGTGAACTAATCAGACAACCATCAATTTAAAAAATTGCTCTGCTTTGTGGCAGCGGTTTTAATCTTATATATCTTGACCTTAGCCATGGTAATGTGACATTTCCTACACTGGCTTAGGAACTCTAACATACACGACTACCAGCGGAGATACGCTCCGACTTTAAAACGATAAAGGGTTAATGACTGCTCTGTGCGTAACTACAGATACTCGAGCCGCGTGTTGATGATATTTCGTGAATATCAATGAACTTTCACACGTGGCAAAATGAAAGTCAAAATGGTGGTACATGCATGCAGGAGTGATGAGTAGAGGCTGGAGACGGCGCTGCGAGTGAGAACCCTGCGGTACAAACACGACCGCGCGTTGGGTCTCAATGAGGAATCATGGAACCCGCAGAGCACCGTTTTTTTTATCAACCCAGGCAGCTTTTACCAGGTGAAATAAATGTCTCGTACTTCTGCTGTTCGTCACCTCGGCGAATACAGATAGCGTACGCGCGATGGAGCGTGCATATGCCTGCACGTGTTCCAGGCCACGCTGGTGGGCTTGTGTTGCTCTCTGGCCCATGGAAATGATAAATTAACACAATAACCAAAATAAGTCCCTGACATGTGAACGCGCGAAGCAACAACACCGCGCGTATCTTCTGGAGGAATCAATTAGTGATTCACACCAGCAGCTAAACATCGCACCTCGTTGGCATCGGGCTGCCCTCGAGGTCTGATGTCATCATAACGATGTTTACCAGAGAGGACACGTGATTACCATGCATCAATACAGCCCCCTTGACAAGGACAACAAAGCCACGAGCATGAGTTTCCAAATGCTTTCCGCTGCTGCCACATGTGATTTATACCCGGAGGTAACAGCCCCACATTGGTGGAACGACGGAGATTAGCCCACGAATTTGTGTCAACCTCCTAGAATCAACATCAATGTGTGCAAACAGTTGGGACAATTTTATATTCAGATCTTTAAAAGGCAGAGGATAAAAACAAATATTTGAGATGTGGATGGGTGACTGAGGTCACAGCACTGAGCCAGCGCTGCTGAGATGCTGGGTTTGAATCTGGACAGCCACGCGTGATTCAAACCAGTTATCAGGCGTTGTGAGTTAATTGTCTCGGCTTGCTCACAAACGACGGAATAAAACCCTCTAACATTCTATTTGGTTTTTCACTTAACGTGGCTTTGACACTTAAGGTTTTCAGTTAGATAGACATGATTGACTCGTAACAAAAGAATATGCGCAGGGAATTCAAATGTGTTCTCCGAGTGTGGATAATGTGCCTCATATAAGTGATTTAAGGAGTATGGTAGTTCTCTGATATTACCTTCTGGGGCAATTCAAATACTTGGTTATGCACTGCTCCTACACAGATCCAAACAGAAATATATGAATCAAGAGACATAATGACAGTAACACAATCGGAATAAAAAAAACGGGAATCTTATAGTTTTTTTTTACATATTTGAAGATGTGAATTATTGAACATCCAGTACCGCAGCAGAATTTGTTTAACAAGCCTGGGACACGGAAGGTCAAGGTCGAAACTGGGCCAGCGCTGGCTTGCTTAAATAAATTATGAAAAATAATATTGGTCTGGAAAGCCAATAATCCAATGGCCTTAAGTATATTTGTATGTGACGACACGTTATTTAACGTGTTTGTTGTTGTGGATAGCTGACCCGTGTACAATGCTGCACTGCCATGAACGCATGAAAAATCGGTTAGTTTATTTCGTTGAACAAAATAAGGACTGAAGAGATCAAGACGGCTTCATTTTGCCAGGCGTTAGTTGAGTAATTTTCGGGTAATAAAAAAAATATTTTTTTATAATGACGCCGGCATCGCAGGACCTTCAACGTCCACTGTAAAGCCGACGGTGTGTCGTATTATTATTATGATGGTTATTACACTGGCAGTGATAATCAGGGCGGCCACCGGATTCGAACCGTGAAGCTCGGCAACAGGCGGCGAACGCGCTTGCAGCCGGGCCGCGTCGCCGCCCTAATAAACGTGCCTCGGGGAGTTGATAATAACATTCTCCATAATTAACGTGTGAATAATTAACAAAGATAGAGTCTGGGCCAAGGCAGCAAAGAGACACATTGATAATTATCAAGTAATGAAAGCACAAAGGGCGGGGGGGGGGGGGGGACATGTTTTAAGGATACTGTAATTTATCGTGAAGGTAAAATGGAATTCGCAATTTTTGAGGAACTGGTGGCAGTCGATAAAAACACGAGTAAAAACTCGGCCTCACAGCGAAATAATGTACGATTGGCTGATTTATCAGGCCATGACACCTTCAGAGGTGTGTACGTGAACAACCCTTGGTCAATCCACTGTTGGATGAGGGCCTCCCCATGCCTATCTGGGTCGTGGGGGTTATTTGACCATACTTGACCATGCCGATCAATGTGGGTCGATGAAGGCGAGGAGCAGAGATGTGGAACTATAGAAGTGCAATACAACAGTTGATTATGCTGCACTGCTCCGTACTGCCCACCACACAGCCCAAAAGGCCTCTATGACGCCTGTTGTTACACATGGTAGTCATACATTCCAGCGCTA